TGATCAAGGAGGCCGAGGAGACCCCACGAGATGGACTTGAATCAGTGTCCAGTCTACAAAGAGGAGGGCCAACACAGAGGAATCATTTTCTCCATGCTTCCAATCAAAGCCAGCCATGATGGTCAAGCAGGACCTTTGACTTATCTTCACACAGATGGAACTGATAAAGGATCCAGGGACTCCTCCCAAGCCCATGTGACCCCTGAGGAACAGATCCTCAAACAACCTTAACAGATAAAATGAATTGGTTTATCTGTAGGGTCTTAAACACCCAAAAGGAAAGTTTAATCAAAGATTAATGGGGTCAATATAATTTTTAAGAGTCCATATGTATAGCTAAAGGCTACACAACAAGAAACAATGCCAGGCAGGTAAAACCTTCCTTTGAGTTATTGGCCAAGATGGCACAAAAGACTCCCAGACAGTAACCCAGCATAGAACTGGGAAAATGAACAGCAGATCCCAATCTTATCTAAAGGAATATTGACAACTGATTGCTGCTAGATGAGGAACAGCCGATCTTCCTAAAACAAGGATCTCTAGGTAGGCTGACTAGATTCATCAGATGGACAAGCACTGGAGAATGGCTGGGGTTGTCAACAACACAGAGGAAAGTAACAGGGATGACAGAGTATGTGGGCTCCAGTATGTGGGAGAGGGGAGGCTATGGGACGATGACATATGGGAAGTGTGTTGACATTTTAATAATATTTTTTTGGATGTTCTTTGTTATGCACACACAAAAAAATCAACAAATTTTTTAAAAATGTATTATATTTGAGGAGGAAGCATAAAAATTTACTTCATGTTAAATAGTAGGGGTGATAAACATTACCAGTGAAATCTACCTGATGACTTTATATCCATACTCAGATACTAAGGATCCGAGTGAAATTGATTGTGACTAGTAATCATTAGACACATAGAGATTAAAGACATGTGCAAACATCTAAGCGTTAGTAGCATTAAAAATGTAGGTAACAGCCGGGTGTGGTGGCGCACGCCTTTAATCCCAGTAGGCAGAGGTAGGCGGATCTCTGTGAGTTCGAGGACAGCCTGGTCTCCATAGTGAATCAGGACAGCTAGGGCTACAGGGAGACCCTGTCTCAAAAAGATCAAAAAAAAAAAAAAGTAGGAAACAGCATATTTTAAAATGAAATGGAGATCTTCTTTAAAGGGTAAAAACTCATTAAATTTTATATCTTACAGGGTAAGATATAATACTAAGTTCAATATTGTATAACTGTATTAATTCAACTGTGAACCTAAATATTTAAAGCCACTTTTGAAAGAGATGTATCCTTGCTCTGGAGTGTGTTACTGAATATGTTGAAGCTGTAATGAAATGCTGCTTCTAATCATGTGGTTATTAGATTTTTTTTTAATTAAAAAAATAGCTTTTCAAAAAATAAAAATTTGCTCCTTAATAATTAGTAGATGTGAAGAACATTACCATTGAAATCTGCCTGATGACTTTATATCCATGCTCAGATGCCTAGAAGCTCAGAAAGTAACCAAATGTAACTAGTAATAATCAAATATATAGATATTAGAAATGCATGCGCATCTTAGTGTCAATTGTATTAAAATGAATTTTTCTGTATGAAACTGTATTTTAATAATGAAATGGAGATCTTTTTTA